GCATGATTTGGCCTTCTTCATCCGAAGCTCAAGGCTTTCAAACATGGCCAAGCGCAAGCCACGCTCCTGGCAAGGAGCGTCAGCGATGCGAAATAGTCCAGCGCATGTCCAAGCTTGAGAAATGCACAACACGACAGTTAGATACAATTGGTATTCTATATGATTCTATATGAAGATATATATATATATATATAAAGAGTAGCTTATGATTATTTATGATTCATATGATGTTTTATGAACCACCAACTATTAGCCTTCAGCTTTTCTGAACAGAACACTTGAAGCGAGATGCGCTCTAGTGCACCTCACTGGGAGTTGGCCTTGTTTGCATACATTGCATAATTGTTCACCGCAAGCCCCGCTGCCTCATTGAGCTTGGCTTCCTGAAATCCCGAAACGTGGCTTCTCCGAACGTTGAAAAACTGTTTCTGGTAGAGAACTCACCACGCGAGTTGGCCGACACACATTTGTACACATGTGTGTGTGTGTGTAACATTATGTAAGTATGTATATAGCGTACATACATATATATATATATTAAATGTTAGCGTTTGTCGATCCGATGCTAAACTTGAGAATAGAGGATTGACCACATTCTCAGCGCTCTGAAGCGTATGTATGAAGCGAGTCTGTATTGTTAGGTATCAAATTCAATCTAGATTGCTGGACTAGTCTGCAAAATTGTCTATTTTGTGCCCATTCCCGTACACTGGGGTGCCGAAAGTTGCGCTAAACGGGACAAACCCTTTCCCCTTAGAATCCTACGTGCGACATGTCGACGCCTAAGTTGCGGTCAGATTTCCACACCTGAAAGCCTTATAAGTATTATAAATTTAAACGGGTGTGGAAATCTGACCGTGCTGTACCTGCCAGGCAAAATGGACGTGTCAATCCGATCCGCTGTAGACCGCAAGTGTCATGTTGGAACAGAGTAAGAAGCGTAAACTTTAGGGTTCTTGAAGTATATCATGTGTTTCCCAACAACATAATGAATGATTAATTGTACTATAACAAAAATTGAAAGGTGCTTGTCCATTCACCACAAAGCAAGGCTCTGGGGAACCCGGCGTTCTCTCTGAAGGCACGTTCACATTCCAACAGAGCTCTCCGTGACTCTGCTTTTAAGTCCTGTCGACCATTCAGTTGTAGTGTGTAGCCCTTAGACTGGGGGAAATTGAATGAGAATGTGAAAGCATGTGAAAGCCCTTAGCAGGAAATTTGACGACAGCTAGTATGATTCTAGCACTGTACAACCACGTTAGTAAAAAAAGGAAAAAAAAAGCGTTCCATCGCAACAAACGAACGGAACTGACAAAACACCAATCCTCGGGCACCCAATGATCCGCCCAGCCGCCCCCGCCGGCCTTTAGCTGGGTTTGAACAATGGCTAGCTCTTTGGCCAGCGAGGAGGATTGGTCCCGGACCTCAGGACGGATGGCAACCGCCGAGACTGGGGCATTTGGGACTGAAAGTTTGCTCAAAATATGTCGGGTTCCTTAGCCCATTGCTCACTTCGCCTTAGAACTCACATGCCTGGTGAAAGAAACGGGAAGGAAAGAAACACAATACGTCAGCCCAGCATGAAAGCCACGTAGTGACACAGCCGTGGGTGAGTTTTGAAGGGCCCTCAACATCGGCTGTCAAGTCTTCTCTGGAAGATTGACCTTTTATATAAGTATCAGTATCACAAATTTCAAGGAAGGTGCACAAGTGGCACGTGCTTGCACAAAGGATGACGAACACGATCACAGGGTCTCTTTAGATTGATCCCGAAGCAGGGTTGGCTGAGACAAAGACCAACTTCCATTGGATATGAGCAAGTTCTGCCTGGCCGCTGGCTGTTCATGTAAAAAACAATGCAATTGCACTCTCTTTTCGAAACCGCTGGAGGAGGGAGCGAACCCTACGCTCCCTACGCAAACCTGAGTCCGAAACCTGAGCTGTTGTGAGCCGAAGAAAACTGACACTTTAGAGATGTGTTACTTCCTTGACCCTGGAAGACATGCAGGTCAACGACTCTTCCAGTGTCCGGAGACACCACAGAACTTCAGGGCTGTGGGCAGAACTTCAGGGTGTCAAGAGTTGGAAGGAATCATTGATAAGGCTTGGTAGAGCTTGAGAGTAACCCCACAGAGAAGTGACACCTTTTGTAACCCCCCCCCCGGATCGCGACCCACATGTTCTCTGTTCACCTTCCCGAACGATCGCGACCAACGGAACTCCATGCTAAGCCGGCCCATGCAAATGCTGCAGGTGGCCGGGAACTATCAGAACCCTTTCAGCAACAGCTGTTGAGGACACAAACATCAGAAGCGTAAAGGCTGAGGGATTCTCTGTGGAGCTAGTTTCAATCTCCCAGACTTTCATGGACTCTCCCATGAATTCGCAAGCTCCTGCTTCTCATCTACAGACTGAAGTTGTCGCTGCCACCTTTGAAGCAAGCAAAGTTTGCGGTTTCCGGTGCTCGAGAAAGTGCCAGGCCAAATGTTGCTCCATGTGTTTGATGCACTGGGAAGAAGAGCCTCCAAAAGCACATGCTATTTACAGTACTCTTCCTTCCCAAAAGGATGGGAGTCATCAAGGCTGGATCTTCTCTCCCCTCTATCCATCTGAACGGCATGAGCTTTCTACCTCCAAGCAAAGAACCTACATACCGAATCTGGGCTCATTCAGTCTGGGCTTTGCTTGAAGCCCGGCGAATTGCATTAAAACCTCCAAGGTTCCATATCAACAGGTCGCAAGCTTCCACTTACCGCCATGGTGCCAAGCTGCTCCTCCTGACGGCGGTTCACCACTCCCAGCGTTGCTTGGATCGCCTGACAATCGCATGGAACGATGGGATTGCCACGCTGAATGATCATCAATCATTTGAGTACCTGAGTCGCTGTAATTGGTCTGTGTTCAACACGCAGACCAAGAGTTTGAAGCCCTACGCCCTAGGCTGGAGATGTATAGTATATTGGTTTTTCTGGCGCTCAGTCTGACTGTTCCAAGGTCCGAAAGATCACCTCTCTCCGTGCCTCCTTGTCTTCAAAGTCTTCCAAGGTGGCCAACCTCATGTCTTTTTCTGCCGATTTCGGCTTCTGACAACATGAGTTTCTCCTCGTGTTTCCAGGTATTCCATGGGTATTCCGATGTCGCCTCACCTCTAGCCATATGAAGTGACCGAGAGCGAGCAGAGTGACTGAAGTGCCGAAGTCCGACCGGACAAACGAAAATGCCAAAGCCTGATTTTAGGACGCTAGTAGAGGTGAGGTAGGTTAGCTAGCTAGGTAGCTAGGGCCTAGAGGGGAGCTTCCTTGAAGAAGCGCTCGCAGCTCGCACTATTCATTTCCTGGATTTTTTGGAACACTTAATGCGAATGGGTGGTACCCCGATAAGCCAGCCCTGGTTTCGCACTGTCTCACCTGGATACCAGTCACGCGGCTTAACTAAGACAAGTTCATTACTTACACGTCCAATGATTTGAATCCGAAGGAATGATTTTATGAAGTCATTCCCATGGGTGAACGTATATCGTGGAGTATCCGAGTGCTCTTCCCCCCTCTCAGCTGCCTACGAGTTCATCGCTTGTGCCTGTGTAACCGGCTCGACCTGCATCGCTACGTAAAAAGATTGCGGCAGATGCCGTTTCATGTTTGCTTCTGTATGGTCTTTAGCAGACGCCCCATCCAATACACGTATATATCAAGTATCAGAAGCGTTTGGAACAATTGAGTGTAAAGACTCGACAAACCGTGTTCACTTTGGACCAAAGTTGACGTGACCAACACTCAAGCATCCGGCTGCTGTAGGCTGCACCACACCCAACAAAGTGCAAAAACACAAAGTGTCTGCACGTCTTGAGGACACATGAATCCAAACAGGACCGAGTGCGCGGCCGGCTGCTTTCTGGCTCGCGCGTCATCTTCTTCATACCCCTGGCTCACTTCAAAGAAATTTTGTGCTGTGTTTTGTGGTTGCCTGGCCCAGTACAGTCCCTACAGGACCAGGAGCAAAGCAAGTCTCAATTTCACACTCCCAAAAGCATCCGGTTGAGCACTGCACCGCTGCTGTGGTGGGTTCCCGTAGCATCTCGTTGGAGCTCCTCGGGCCAGCAAGATCGTTGTCCAGGATGGCAAGCAGTACAAATCACAAGAAGAAGCACTAGAAGAAGGATAAAGGTTGACAAGGCTTCAAAAGTGGCTGACTGGATTAGTCAAACAATCTCATAAACGTTCCGTTCCCAACGCAAGATAAAACAATGATGCAGCTGTGCACCATTGGGTTTTAGTTCGTATCAACTGCCATTAAGAGACCGAACGTTCGTATCAACTGCCATTAAGAGACCGAACTAAAACCGACTCGTAGACCCCCTGAGCGATGGGCAGGCCGGTCTTCCGTGCCGATGTGCGCGGCTTGGCGGTGCCAAGCGGGGCTCGAATCGTGTCGGCCATCGCTTGGTTTCGAAGAGAAAACGGAACCAAGCAAGCTTCCAGTTGGAATGGAATGTATATTTAAGATTACTGCTTTTATTACATTACCAATATGTAATTACATATATAACTATTTTGATTATATATACCAAAAAAAACTGTTAAGGCGTCGTTGGAAAAGAAGCACCTGCTACAGTCATCATTGTGCCTTTTTTGAGCACCCTTCAAGCACAGCGTGGATTCAATCAAAACCAGCTGGAGCAATCTGACGGCCTCGTGGAAACGAATGACATTGAGTCAACTCATTAGGTTGATTGGTTGATGAAAGCAGATCCAGGCAGAGCCACCAAAGCTTCAGCATTCAACTTGTGTCGTTCAACGCAAGGCACGACCCGGCACAACTAATCACCTTTAGTATCCTTTAGTGCTAAAGCATGGTGCTATCATAAATATTCGGAAACAATGCTAGCACCTTTGATGCATGGAGACACAATGAGACCCATCCTTCTGTGAGGGGCCCGACAAACGCAAAGAATGCGAATGCGAAAACCATTACCAAGAGCTCGCTTCTTTTCAACAAGTGCTGTTCGTGAGTGGCCTCCCGGGTGGCCTGAGGTGCCGGAGGGCAGCACGTGCTATCTGCTGAACCTCTGGGCTGCTATCTTTACACCTCATTGACAGATCTGCAACGACACCAGTGACATCACCGAGTCTTCCCAGGGTGGCAACGGTGGATACGGCCCTTGCCCGGACAAACCGGTCATTGTCAGTGAGCAAATGCGCAGCTGGAAGCGCCACCAGCTTGAGGTCTCGCGAGCATTTGGACACCAAGTTCAGTGCTGCCATGGCCCGCGCGCATACATGCGGACACGGGTCCTTTAGCGAATGACTCAAAGTAGCCAGCAACATCATTGTCTGCTCTTCCTGACTCGAGGTGTCACTACACAAACAACGTCAACTCCTTACATATTACATATATATGCAGTATGTCTTTGCTCGCACATGCTCGATGCAGCTCAAAGGCATGCTCCACAGCCTCCAACTAAAAAGGAATCCACGTTATCCTCAATATCCCAGCATTTCATGAATGTCATCATGGCAAAAGGTTTCGTTTTAGGCAAACCTGCCTGGAGTGCAATCTGTACAAGTCACTTGATCTAGACCTACCGTGCACTGCTCCACTCATAGTCATAGAGTGATGGATGTGAGAGCAATGGAATGATGGATGTCCTTTGTCTAAGACATCGCTCGGCAAGTATACTGCAGTACGTTCTGTGACGACATGTTCTGTGACGACACGAGAGCGGTCACGACTCCTCTGTTTTCGTATGTAAGAACGACGACGTGCAGGAATGATGATCTCACTGTCTGAACGATGATGAACATGGATCATGAACGACTTTATTGATGTTGGATCTAATGAAAAAACATATGCAACACACATATCTCAAAAATGGATAAAGATATGGTCCTGCAAAGATGTGGTGCAAACGAATTGGCCCATCGCATCGACGGTCGCACATCGAACTTCTGAACTGGTCTCTCGGTGTAACGCATGGCAAAAGCTTCGAGAGATCTCCAGCTTCGAATGGGAACCGCTGCAGTGTCCCAAAAGCGAAAGGAAAGCCGCAGCCTGAGGCCACTCGCATTTGGCTTTCGGCAGGTCGCTTCGGTGGGTGCAAATTTGGGTCAATGCAGTTCAATGATTGAGAATGCTGGAAAAAAATCAGTTGCAATACATCGAAAAGCCATGCTCTTAGAGAGGGCATCGCATGAGGGATTTCTCAATGCCGAGCGGCAGCTTTCCTAACACGGAAGCAAGAATCCTCCAGCAATGACATGAACTCTTGCAGAAGTGACTCACAGGATGATACTGCTGCATCCAGGTCAGCTTGCTCGACGCAATTGGCCTGTCGTTCTGAAAGGATACACTTGCGCCGTGTGCCCTCTTCGATCTTGCATTGAGCACCCAGCCCATCCAGCCTTGCCTGATTGCTAGATCAGTGAAGCTGAACACCAGAGTGTTCTGCTCAAGACACTGAGCTGGTGAAAGACAAAAACTTTCTAGCACAATGGCAGGTTGCCAGCATCTCCATCAGGCATCTTTGCCTGTGCAAGCACTGATGACTAGGACATGTTCGACTCAAGCAGTCCGCACCGTCCGCAGGAAACAGCAGGCGGGCAAAGCTAGTGACGCGCCGTCACGAATTGCTGTGCCCCGGACCAAACATGGGATTTAAATATGTGAATGATTTTACAATCCAAACCAAATCCGATTTATATATAAGATATATATGTTTGTTTCAATGTTTTATATAACCACAAGCAGCAATTTTGAGCATTCCCATGTAAGGTGTTATTCCTTCCATATCTTCCATTTTGCGTTCCTCTTTCCTTTCCCCTTCTTTCTCGAAAATCACATCTTTGCCTGTTGTTGCCAGTGCAGTCCACCAAAGGTTTAGAATGCTTCTGTTTTTTCATTAAAGGGTTGTATATATATAGAACTCATGCGCTTCAATGGTTCTGGTTTAAAACATCCATCCAAGCGGCTTCTTTGGTTCTGGCCATGTGCCCCTCCGCAGATCCTCCTGGATCATCTTCTTGGCACCAGCCAGGCCATGTGCTCACTTGGCTCGCGTCAGCAGTGGAGCGGCCATGGGGCTCAGTCTGCAAGCATCGCGGCACATGCTGAGGAGATGCCGAAGTTCACCTGGCCGCTGGAAAACCTCCCGAAGGCACTCTCAAAGGGTATGATATGTTACTGTGGATACATGGATTTCTTATACCTTGATATATCTCAATAACTATCTTGATACATTCTGATACATTTGTGTATGCGTCCACTCTGAATTGCACTGGTATCAAGCTGAAGATCCCGACGCTTTAGGCGCTTGAATATAGTCAGCAAGAAAAACATGCGGATGATACTGATTGTATATAGAGATTTAGACATGCTCAAAGACTTGGCAAAACTGTGTCAACAAAAAAAAGAAACACTTCCATGCATCTTCTTCTACAATGACACGAGATATCACTGGCCCGACGGACCTGTCAAGAAAATCAAAGCCATTCCCATTCCCAACAAGAAGCTCAAATGGCTTTTGTCGACATTTGCAAGACTGGACAGCCCAGATTGGACACGACTCTCTGCCAAGATGCTGGCGCTTAAACACGCGACTAGGAAGGCACCCGCAGTTTCGGGACGGCAGGCGAGATGCATCACGCAGGCCAAGGCATTTTAAAATCAAGCTGCCGGTCTTTGAGCGAACACAAGGATGTTCCAAAGACGTTGAATTCGCTATAGGAAACTCAACAATGAAGTATACTACAATAATCGGCTTCTTGCTAGGCGTTCTTGTCACCAAAATCTCTCAAAATTACAATGTCTTGTTGTTCATGTTCAACGGCTTTCTAGGACATCTCAGAAGGTGCACTGGAACTGGTTATTGGAATCAAGTTCAATGGAACTGGTTTTTCTATGAGTCGTCAGCCAAGTGATGGAGCCTGGCAATTAAACATAAACTGCAAACCTTGCCAGGTTGTTTAAACTGGAATTGAGAATAGTCGAACATCTCGTTTTAAAAATGCATAATGGATCATAGTATGGGATAATGGATGATAATGGACAATCTGTCTGTGCTGATACTTGAGAAGGAGTCTTTCTTTCAAGCAATCTTGAGGCTCTCATGAGCCATCATGGGCTATGATGCCACTCTTTGGGTGTTGAACATGGTCGTGGCTTCATTCTTCTCTAATTCTGTGGCACACATATAAAGCTAGTACAGGTAGTTTGAAGTTTAGCCCACTCTACTGAGTTGATTCATCCACCAGAAATACATGCTACAAGCTAGCTGAAAGCACACGCTCCTCTTTTGCACCCTACGTTCTGTAAGCTGATCACTTTGCAGCCATGTCCTCAGTGTCAGCAAAGCCCATGTTCATGGTTGGCGGTTCTTTCACGAAACTGCTTTCTTGGTTCATCACTTCAGCAAGACTGGGCCTGTGGATAGTAAGATTGAAATTTATTGAAATTTGCTATGCCCAGAGTCGGGCAATGAATTGATCAAGTATGCGATAGGGCATCTCCCATAGTATTTAAACTCTGAGGCTTGCACTCTATCAGCTTGACCACCGTGCGCCTCGGTTCCTGGGCAAGGTGCCACTTGGTGTACAATACAAAACCACACTTGTGAATCACATCCCGTGCATCCACTGTGCCGAATCCGTCATTATTGCTCTGCTGGAATCTAGGCCAATCTAGGCATGTTCGGGGCAACTTTCAAGCTCTACAATGGAGGCTGTGGAATGGGACTGGATCCCAACTCTCTTCAATAGGTGAAGATTCTAACATTAAGAGTTCACAACTCCAAATGGATCCAAATGGAAACATTCCGTAGAGTGCACACAAGTCCATGCAAGGCTTGAATATGATTGAACAAGGAAATCCCAGGTTGCCTGCTCGAAGATTCGAGATGAACTTTGCAAACCTGGCAAAATGGTACTTGAGCCGGCAGATGGATCAGAGTGAATGGAGGACTGGTTCACCAATGGCAACGCAGCACTCATATGTGGCTTTTGAAGACACACTTACCAAGACAACTGTTGTATAAACTTATATAGTCGCTGGTCATCTTGACCGATCTTGACCGAAGGGATGCCAACTATCCCAGGCAAGCTGGGAAAGCCTTTCTCATTGGGCATGCATCAGAAAACCATCCCCAGTGAAGCTCCGTCCCGTTTCTGCGCACTCGATGGCAGGTGGCTGCTCTTCAGCCTGCCACAGGTGCACAAGTTGCATTCGCTCTAAGACCCTACAGTCACTAGGCGAGTCATGTAGGCCACTCTGGTGGTACTGCCTACTCGTTCGGGCTGCTGTCAAGCGGCATGTTCGAAAACGCTAAATGATGGAGCCATTTTCGCAGTTAGAGAGTGTTGTGTCATCCTTTGTCTAGTCTACACCCTCACCGCCGCCTCGTCCACAAGCACAAGCACAAGATAGCACAAGTTTGCTTGCGAGCCCGGCCCAAGCTGGTCCACGTGCGATCCAACAATGCTATTCTTAGATGTGGCAGCTGATGTGGCAAGTATGGATCAAGGATGTGGCTGCGACCCAAATGGCATGGCCTCCCCAGACAGCAGCTTGGTCAGCAAGCAACCAGAGTCAACGTAGCAGCGAAGCCTGCATTGTGACTGTCATTCTGACTTGAACTGAAGGAGCCCAAGAAGACATTATAATGTCCAAACAGCGCGTCGACGACTCAGAGTTGGCCTAAGCCCAGTTTCGCCAAGTTGATATTGGCCAGGTCCGATGCGGCTGAACCTCAACATGGCTGCAGGTGTCAATGTGGAAGAACGTGAAGAAACGGGAAGGCCAAACAGCTGCTATCACATCCTCGTGACTAACAAAACATCTGTAGTTACAAAAACAAAAACAGCTGGACGAAAAACAATGAGTATGGACACCAACAAACGAGTACCATGACACAGTCAATACATCTCGCCGATCTTGCTCCAGCACTTGCCTGGGTTCTTACATGCCGCTGTCCTCTGCCTTCAATTCTATAAATATAAGAAACTTCTGTGATCGACAGAATGGATATAACTTGCGGTGCGAAAAGAAGAGATTCGAAGTAACATGTGGTACATGCTCCAGCAAGGGGAAGACCTGATGCTAGAACTGTTTCATCAATAATATTGTTTAAAAGAAAGCACCAACTCCGCAGCATGAAACCATATGAAACCTAACCGAAAAAGAAAAAGCAGTAGCCGCACGCAGTTTTCACCTCGGGAGACATGTTCCACCTACACCGGCCGGTCACAGCATGATCCGTAGTGCAGTTGTCTCAGCATCCTCGCTCTGCAGCATCACGGAAACCAGACCTGGACCCAGCGATTTCGCTGTTCAATATGGGGCAGGTGACAGTCTGTGACAGCAGGCAGGATGTGATAGGTGGAAAAGGACATGTCTTTGGAGTTTCTTGGTGCCAGATGTCAAGATTGGATTAATTTTTGGGAGTTCATATATAGATCTATACGATAGTCAGATCACCTATATATGTCCATTCGTCATTGTGGCTATGAGCTGTAGGGAGGTATTGAGAGTGTGGCTAGCTTCGGTCAAACAGTACGACTGGGTCTTGTACCATGCAGCCATCAAACTCACAACGTTTCTGCAAGAACAAACCAAAAAAATATCAAATGTAAACAAATGTCTGGCCTCAGCAACTCAGCAGCAAGCAAACAATCGACGGGATCACTCTTCAGTGGCCTGGGCATTAAGATTCACCGTGGATATGTACGTATACATACATAAATATATATATATATGTCGAGGTATAAAGACTGGTGCGAGAACTTCCCATCTGTTCGTTCGGCCTAGACTCCCAACACATGTAGAGCAAGAATTGAACAGTCCAATGCTTTTGCAACAGTCGGAAGCGCGATCAGTGAACAGCCGACCCAAAAGCGTCAGGGGCCACATCCAGATTGATAGGGTACCACACTGGGTAGTTTGACTGAAGAAGAATGCTCTGGCACAGCAATACTGAGTAGTTTGACTGGTAGTTTGACTTGATTGGACAGCAAACAAGTTCTTGTGTCCTTGCACACAACAGCGACTGTTGCGCACAATCGTTGTATAGAGGACAGGAAAGAGGCCCTTCGATTAGACCTCCACCAGATTGCCACCCCCAACTCAACACAAGATAAAACAAGCATCATAGGGGATGTTTTGCACAACCCTGAACAACAGCGATTGGGCGGCAAACTTGTAGAATGAGTTTGGCAAGGTTCTCTGCGGCCATAGCTCCTGGAATTCGTGTGGGCTTTGCAAGACTCACCTCAAAGTACGCTCCCTATTGCGACTGACAGCTTTGCACCGATAGGGTCTAGAAAAGCGATAAAACGAAAAAGAATGTCAGGCCCCTTTGAAGAAGGAACTTACCTTCCATTCTTCATCTCTTTCTCAAGACCCTGGTCACGACACTCCTTCGCCTATTCAGACCAACAGTTCTGAACCATTGCTTGCGTCAAGAAGTCTACCTTCTGCGTCAATCCTTCGCTCGGAGAGCATCCGCGAGCTTTGAAAGGACCTCAAGAAAGCGAGGAAGGAAGTGAATGAAACCCTGTTCCCATCGGTTCCCTATGTTGCTTTGAAAATTGAAATATCAGTTATACTCGAGGCTTTAAATATCCTGCCTTCGTCTATGACAGCACCAAACAAGCACAGAGTTAAAGCGCCGAAAGGGCAACACGCCTGTGCAGCCCCTGGTACTTTCAATAACATAGAAGCGTGCATTTCCATAATACAAGTACATAAGAATAGTGGCCCTAGAATATGTCATGAACAAATAAATCTCTTGTCTATTGTCTACCGAACAGGTTTCCCGAAATCATCTGGCACCTCCAACCGATTCCATGACCATGCCACGCTTGGTTGTGGTGTTGCGTCGATCGAGCCCTTCAGCCCACCCGGCCTGATCGAGGGTCTCATCGACCTCACCTCAGAGATGCACGTTCATACGAAGAACGTGGCTGTGTCCGAAAGGGTTTTTTCTCCAACTGAATAGAAGAATCGGTTGTCTCTTTGACCTACTAGCGATGGCCTCCAACCTACTAGCAATGGCCTCCAAGCCTCCAATGGTCTCTATAACACTAATTGGTCACTATATTCCCTGGCTTGGAAGAAATTATATAGGTCTTGCACGGTCAGCTACAGTAGACACTGGTCATCGCCACTTAGGCTACTGCCTGTTTGCAACCCGTGCTTTGCAAGCAGGTGATTCACCTGGTTGCTAGGTTCTTCTGAACACTGGCAGCAGTTAGCACCAGGATATTGGCCCGGAAACGTCTGGGATCGAAAGATTCCCCAAAATCATGCTGATCCAAGCAAGCACTTTGGAAAGTGAAAACCTCCTGCAAGGTTCAACTACTCTCACCCTTGAAACCTGCTCTGCTGATGCCATGCTTAGTGGTAGTCTCCAGCCTGAACCACAAAGTTCTTGTCGACGTCCTGCACACCCCCAACGCCACAAAACCAATTGATACCAATTATATAGCATGATACCCGAATCTGATTAGCCCCTTTCATACAAAGAGGTGAAATGAAGTGCTCACCTTCCCTATGATTGGAGCTCATCTTACTGACTTCTGAATCCTTTCCAGCAAACCGTTGCCCACGTGGCCTGAGACAGGCGTAGTTTCAGCTCACCTGGATGTTGACTTGTCTAAGCCCTAAAAATATTGTCTTTAGACATCCTTCGTCATTTTGCTGGAACCA